TGGTGCTGACCTTTGCCCTCTGGTGTTTTTTTGGTGCTGACCTTTGCCCTCTGGTGTTTTTTTGGTGCTGACCTTTGCCCTCTGGTGTTTTTTTGGTGCTGACCTTTGCCCTCTGGTGTTTTTTTGGTGCTGACCTTTGCCCTCTGGTGTTTTTTTGGTGCTGACCTTTGCCCTCTGGTGTTTTTTTGGTGCTGACCTTTGCCCTCTGGTGTTTTTTTGGTGCTGACCTTTGCCCTCTGACCTGTCGTGGAGAATTTTCTTTTGTTTCTTTGTTAAAGCTACTGGTTGTTGATTCCTTTAGGGAGAATCGTCTCACATGTATGGAGACTGGTTTTAGCACCAGTAGGAAATGCAACAATTTCCTTAATCCCATCAAACAGATGAATCTCCCATTCCTGTTTATCTTTGAAATTGTACGACTCGCCCTTTTGTGAAACCCTCACACCTGAGAAGATTCTCCTTTTGATCCATCATTAGGGCCTTTTCCTGTCTCCTCAGAATCAGAATCAGAATCAGAATCAGAATCAGGTTTATTGCCAAGTAGGTTTTCAGACTTACAAGGAATTTGCCTTTTTGTTGTTTAGTGCACAACACAACACTTCTATGAGAAGCAAGAATAAAATGTAAAAATAAAGATATTGGGCAGAATGATAAAACTGAAAAATACAATCTTTAAAAGTATAAATCTGAATGTACAAATTAATCCTGAGAATAAGCATAGCTTTTTTCCCTTTGGAGATTCTCCATAGGACTTCCTGAGGACTGAATGTAAATCAGAATCTCTTTGTTTGTTGCTGATAAGAAACACAGTGACTTATTTTACATTCTTTTATTCATACTATGTTATAAAAGGAGACGTGCCTTTTCACTTGGGTTTTACTCTGTGACTTTCGTCTTCAAACGCTCTTGCCTTTGAATAAATCTCTTTATTAGACAAGATCGATAAAGATCTTCTCTAATTATTAAGAAACTTTGCCTCACTCTTTTAAAGAACTTTTTCCATAACAGACCTTTGCCCTTTGGTGTTTTTGCCCTCTGACCTTTGACCTCTTGTGTTTTGGGTGCTCTCTGGTGTTTTTGGGTCCTGACCTTTGACCTCTGTTGTTTTTGGGTGCTGACCTTTGACCTCTTGTGTTTTGGGTGCTCTCTGGTGTTTTGGGTGCTGACCTCTGACCTTTCCCCTATGGTGTTTTTTTGGTGCTGACCTTTGCCCTCTGGTGTTTTTGGTGCTGACCTTTGACCTTTTCCCTCTTGTGTTTTGGGTTCTGGTGTGTTTTTGGGGTCCTGACCTTTGCCCTCTGGTGTTTTTTGCCCTCTGACCTTTGCCCTCTGGTGTTTTTTTGGTGCTGACCTCTGACCTTTGACCTTTGCCCTCTGGTGTTTTTGGGTTCTGGTGTGTTTTTTGCCCTCTGACCTTTGACCTCTGGTGTTTTTTGCCCTCTGACCTTTGACCTCTGGTGTTTTTTGCCCTCTGACCTTTGCCTTCTGGTGTTTTTTGCCCTCTGACCTTTGACCTCTTGTGTTTTTAGTGCTGACATCTGACCTTTGCCCTATGGTGTTTTTGGGTCCTGACCTTTGCCCTCTGGTGTTTTTTGCTCTCTGACCTTTTCCCTCTGGTGTTTTTTACCTCTGACCTCTGACCTCTGGTGTTTTTTTTACCTCTGACCTCTGACCTCTGGTGTTTTCCTGCTGCAGGCGGCTGTTTTCGGCGGGTCTGGAGCGCCGGCGGCAGCTGGGAGACCTCGAGTTTTCCAACAGATACGCCGAGTTCCTGCGCTCCAAAGCCAAGCACAGCTCCATCTGCACGTTCCTGCGCCGCGTTCAGGGCGTCAGGAAGAGGTTTAACGCCATTTTATAAAGATTACACGCCTCAGATTTATGACTAAACACGGTTTACCGCAAAGTATCTGTATATACAGTGGAGGAAATAAGTATTTGAGCCCTTGCTGATTTAACAGGTTTGCCCACTTACAAAGAATGCTTATTTTTCCTCATCAGATGGTTATCAATTTTTATAAATTCATATGATGTGATTTTCTGGAATTTTCTTTGGGATTCTG